TCCTAGCTTACTCTAGTACAAGGCAGTACCATTAGCAGGCATACCTGACATGGCTCCTAGCTTACTCTAGTACAAGGCAGTACCATTAGCAGGCATACCTGACATGGCTCCTAGCTAACTCTAGTATGAGGCAGTACCATTAGCAGGCATACCTGACAGGGCTCCTAGCTTACTCTAGTACAAGGCAGTACCATTAGCAGGCATACCTGACATGGCTCCTAGCTAACTCTAGTACAAGGCAGTACCATTAGCAGGCACACCTGACAGGGCTCCTAGCTTACTCTAGTACAAGGCAGTACCAATAGCAGGCACACCTGACAGGGCTCCTAGCTAACTCTAGTATGAGGCAGTACCATTAGCAGGCATACCTGACAGGGCTCCTAGCTTACTCTAGTACAAGGCAGTACCATTAGCAGGCACACCTGACAGGGCTCCTAGCTAACTTCATTACATGATAACACAGTGATGTTAATGACATAATCAACATTGATTGTTGCATCTAAGCATATTTTCTGATTTTTACACATTAAAATTACATTAAGATGCGTGGCACAATGGTTGTCTGGTACACCCAGCAGTGCAAAAAGAGTATATTTTTCTCACTTGCCAGGTTTGTGGCATTCATATTTGGAAGAATGGCATCTGTTTGAAAGGCATGTATGTAAATGTGTCGAAATGGGCGTAGTCCGAATGGCTAGTGCTAGTAGCACTAATCCGAAAAAGTACTAGATCTAGTGCTAAAATGGCACTAGATCTAGCGCTAAAATGGCACTAGATCTAGTGCTAAAATGTGCACAGTGCGAGTGGCATTGTTATCGCATTGTCAACGACGTCGAATAATAGGAGGGGCATCAACAACCACTTTCATATGCAAACTACAAACAGTATAAAACATCGGCAATATGTGCGAGATGTCCATAATAATACTTTCTTTATATAAAACCGGATCCTGCCGTAAATTCGGCCATCCGAAAAATCGCCCTGGGGATTTCATGGGTGATGGGTGCTTATTTGGGGTTCAAAATTTCAAAAAATAATTATCAAATATTTTGGGGAGAAATTTTCATTGTATCCAACTACACAGACTTACTACGCCGTCAGTTGGGCCACCCAAGACGACAGAAACTATTGCAAAATTAACAATAATTAATAATTTTTGCTGAATTAAAAAGTAGACCACCTGGAATGTCATTACAGTGTCGCCCAGTGTCATTTTTCAAATACATTTGTTTTTATGTTATTGGTAACAACAGTATATTTTAAACGACGTTTTTAATAAAAACGAACGCAACTGCATCGCGTAGCAGCAGGCGATCACAGATGCTCAATCCGGACATGCAACGTTTCACAAACGTTGATTATTACTCAGTAGTGATTATAATAACGCACAAAAAATAAATTTGTTGATTCAAATAAAATTCAACTTAGTTTCATCGTAAGCAAATGATTTCGATCGCATATAAACGCTCGATGCGGTAGGGTATGTGCCATGTTTCTCTTGCGTGAGTTGAGCTAATAGGTCAAATCACTAATTAACCAATCAAAATGCTGGATGATGCTAACGTGTTCAAATCACCATAGTTCATTTAAATATGTTAATGTTATTGAACGCAACGCGGAAGAGATTTGCCGATGTTGTAGTACGCTCTTTTGGCTTGGATTTGATGGGAAAATAGCATGTTTTTTT